GACCTCTCTTAGACGACCCTCAAGTTCGGTTCTAGCTTCATTATTAGCCCGTGCTTCAGCTAATGATTCAGCTTCCCTCGCTGCATTCAAAGCATTTGTGTAGTATTCTTTTTGAATTGTGAGTTCTGATTGGTGTTTCTCAATTGTTTCTTGAAGCAACTTCTCAGTTGCAGCCTTATCCCTTCTTATACTCTCCACTGTATTTTCTTCTACCTGAAGAAAATAAAACAAAAAGTCCAATCTTGAACATGCAGGCCTATATATTTCCTTTTTCCAACATGTTTTTTATCTTCATGAAAAAGTAATGAGTTCGCTTCCATTCAAACTGCATGGAGCTTCTGAGATAACATTTGAATTCCTTCAACAACAACAACAACAAAGTCTTATCCCACTAGGTGGGGTCGGCTACATGGATCAAACGACACCATTGCGCCCTATCATAAATTCAAACATTTGAATTCCTTCATTTTCTAAAAAGTAGACGACAGAAGTGGCAAAACTAAATGAAGGAATGCATGTGATCTGTGTCTGGAAAGATCAATTAGACATCAATGTGTTTGTATTATACATAATCCATGTCAGTTACACAAAGTAAAGCTGAAGAAGCAAACCTCTAGCTTGGTCTGCAGTCCTTTCTTCTCTTCTTCTAGCTCTCTAATCTAACTTTCAAAACAGAGGCAATGGTTTATTAAACTAAGAGAACTTTAAAAGCAACACGCATAATTCATTATGCTTGAAAGATAACCTGTGCCCTTAATTTCCTAATATGAGCCTCCTGGGCAGCTTGCTTTTTTGAAAGCTGTTCACCTGAGAAGAATAGTACACAAGTAAAAAATAGCTCAATGACAACATCCAATACATTTGACAAAATCAACTAGTCAAGGTCATTTTGTAAAGAAGGATATAAAACTAAATAGCACTAAGTCTTAGTAGACCTTTCTGACACACTGAAATTACAAGCTTAAGTATTTAACACAAGATATATGAGTTTTGCATGTATTAATGCTACATGAATGTATGTGTGTCACAGAACCAAAAACAGTAGTAAGATTTAAAAATAAAAATTGTTCCTCCCACCTTTTCATTAACCATAATACAACAACCTAGTAGAATCCCATGAAAATAGGGTCTGGGGAGGGTATGTGTAGACAGACCTTACCCCTACTTGAAACTTGAAAGTAGAGAGCCTATTTCCAAGAGACCCCCAGCTCGAGCAACACAGAGAGCAAATAGCACGACAAAAAATATCACAAAAGCAAACTAAGGGCAAGAAAAGCGCAATGAGACAACCCATAATATGAAAGCAAAAAAAAGTTTTGGAGAGCCAAAACCAATTCATTAATTAATCAAATATTGGGAAAAAATACCTTCAGCCATAACTTGAGTAATGATTTCATCTTTCTCCTTCAGAAGAGCAGCCGCATCACTCTTCTTATTGTGCTCTCTACGAAGTGTATCCCTTTCTTTGGTAAGAGAGTAGACCTGAAATTTGAATGACATAAACATAACATCCTTAGTAATGAGGCATCAGTCCAGAGAGAAAATTCACTCCAGCCATGGTAAATACTCCAAAAAAATTATACCTTTCTTTCAAGAGTTGCAACCCTTTGATGGTACTCTTCTCGCAGGGATTCAATATCTACCTCACTGGCTTTTCCCTGAAAATTAGATGAGAGAAAAAGGAAATTTGAACTACAGGGATAAGTTTGAAGAAGGATGACATATCCATTACCTATGATAGATATTATCACATTAGAGTACAATAAAAAATCAATGAGAAGGTTCAAAAGTTATCTTTTTAGGTGTTTGGCAAAAAACAGCGAAGCAAACATGCTATGTTGAGACCCACGCCTAGATGTAGAAGCACCATTATGTAGGATGAGAAATACAAAATAATACTCCCTATGATCCTATATAATGTTCCCATTTTCTTTTTGCGCAGAACTTAAGGTGAAAGAAATTGTGCAGTTGAAATTTATGCATTTATACAGCAAATAGAAAAATAATTATGAACCACACAATTCATTCTTGAGCAGGGAATGGAAAAATAATTTAAAGAAAATCTAAAAAGTAAAGTAGGAACATTAAAAAGAGACAGAGGAAGTAATGTAAATGCTCAAACAGAGACATACATAAGGGAAATTTCACTATTAACTTGCAGGTGAGCATATCACTTCAATGTAGCAATAAAAATTAAATACAAACAATAGCCATGTACATACAAAAGCCTGCAAAAATGAGAAGAAAATGGTACTCACTCTCAGATCCTCAACAACAGCCTTTAGATGCTCATTTTCATTCATCAGCTTTGCAATTTCATCAGCTTTTGCCTATAAGGGAAAATTAATAATTAGTATGATTGACTTTTGAACATGTATACATTTCAATGGCAAATAAGAATGATGTGTTGTGATCGACAACACTTTTTTTTTCAAAACCCAACAGAAGTGTTTACCACTAGAGGAACTTCTAATTAACTTTGCTAGGTCAATTCAAAATTTAGAAAGTTTGTTCACTGCACTTGATATAATTGTAGAGCCGTCTTTAAAATATTAGCTGTTTTGTTAGATTCGAATCTAAATTTCATAAGAAGAATTAGGGTATGACATGCTTGGAAACATGCTGTCCAATTCTTCGAGAAAACAACAGTGCAGACATATCAGCAAACAAATGATAGGTGAGAAAATCTTCTGATTTTATAAACTTCCATTTAGCATGGTAAGTCCAGCATGTATTCCATGAATCTTAAGTCTTAACAATGAAAATGAAGTAAACCCTACAACTCAATGCAAGCATATGATTCACAAATTGCTCCATGACATGCATAGAGAAAATACCTGTGCTTGTCTAGCAGCACCTAACAGTGCAGATTCCATCATTTTCATCTCTCTTTTCACTTTTTCTAGTTCAGCTACCATATTGGAAGCATCTGTCAAGTTGGTCCCTGAACTCAACTGCTCTGTAAGACCTACCACATTATCGATTGCTCTCTGGTTGACCTCAACAGCTTGAGCAATTACATTATTTGTATGCGAACTCGAATCAGAAACCATCTCTGAAGCTTCTTCATCATGTTGGACAACAGGAAAGTTAGTTTCATATTGTTCCTCCGAAGGTCCAGTTTTATTAGACTCGGCAGAGTCAGAAACAGAATGCCTTCCACTTCCAAAATGACTGGTTGATTCATACTGAAAGTCAACTGGAGAAACTTCCTCTTTGTTCTCTTCCTTCTGTTCATCAGTCTCATTTGTGTTCTCCTGTGAATTAACAAAATCATTGGATGGATGAAATGTTATAGTGTGAAGTTCATCTTGAGAGGCAATAGTGGTCGATATTGATTCTAACTCTGCCAGATTTCCAATATATTCTGCATTTGAAGCCTCCTTTTTTGGTGATTTAGAAGACTCTCCTTCCTCGCCATGCTCAGGTTTGCTTTCAAATACTTCAGCTGGTAAATCAGGTTCATCTTGTCTTTCAACTAGAGCACTAGAAATATTTTGTTCTTCACTCCCAGGTTTTGTTTCCTCAGCAGAACCTTGTTTCGCTAAGCTCGTATCAGCTTCTTCAGCAGATACAGTTGGGTCCAGTTCTGCATTTTCATTATTCACGTCTTCAGTGGACATAACTGGCTCTGGTTTCAGATAAGCGTCTCTTGCTTCTTCAGGAGAATACTCTAGCTTTACATTAGAATTTCTTGACAGGTCATTATCTTCTTTGCCAGAGGTAATTATTACATTCGTTCTTATTTCTGCTTCATAGCTTTCTATAGGGGCAGCAGGTTTCTCAATTTCTGAATCAGCTGAATCTTCAATGGCATTCTCCACCGTAGCAGGGATGGGCGTCGAGGTGTCAGTGTCTTCTAGAGACTTTGTATCCTCCTCACCTTTATGTCCCATAAAGGCCATAACAGGGTTAAACAGTGTGTTCCGATCCGTTGCTGCAGGCCATAACCCTGATGCTGGTAAGTGGTAGCCGCATGAAAAAAGAAAGAAAAAGACAACAACAAAAAAAACATCACAAAGCAAGAAACTGAACTTCTCTTGCTAAAGCACGTATAGCACTATGAACTGTTCTCGTTTTAATTGCTCTCCATAGTCCGTCCTACTATCTTTGGGACATGGAATGTTGGAAATAAAATAAGAAAAAGTGGAATTGTGTGGTCGATATTGGATACGTAAGAATGATTTTGGACCATAGAAATATACCAGATACGGAATGGGGAAAAGATAGTGATAGTGGGGTGGATGGAGTAATAGATTGCATACAGACCAATTGCACAGATAAAGCCAATGGCCTTCCCAATTAAACAGTTTCAATTTCAACAAGAATTCCTTCAACAATAACAATGGACAACGGTACTATTACGGAATCACTCACTCGCTCTGGCATAGTACTTAGCTAGGTGTATATGTGGCGGGAGCCACGTTGCTTTAGGCTCAATGATTGAGTCTTATGGGAGTATAGAGCTCATAACAAACATAACCTAAGATGGTGATCTTTAACAGTTTAGCTACATAAGGAGATTCTAAATTCAATAGAGATATACCTTCGCTATTACTGGCATCGGCTTTATCCTCTAGGCCTAGAGCGCTATCGAAGTTTTTCTCAATGTTCTTAACGCTCTCACTGAGTTTGTTCACTGCGCCGGCAAGATCCAAGTTCCCAAGAGAGATACCGCTACCGAACCAAGCCATCTTCCAGATAAATTACACTCGATCAAACACTCTAATCACATCGCTAGCTCCATCAACCTTCCAAATCAAATGAAAATAAATACAATTCAATGAATTTCACGATAGAACGATGAATACCAGTAGCTGGAACAGATGGTTTCAGCTTCAGTTTTGCAACAGTGGCTTTTCCAGATATCCTATTGATCATTAACAGATCTCATAGCAGATACGAATTCATATTCGGCGGATGTGACATTGTAACCTGTTTAAGGGTTATCTGGTTGTGGGCTGCGAATTCAGAGGGAAAAACGGTCTCCGTCGGAGGCGTGAAAATGCCAATCTACCTTCCCGGCGCGATGGCATCATTGTCATGGTATGTCACTCCGTCGGTATCTTATTTTGGTTTTTTTTACCTTTTCTGTTTCTTGTTTGGAATAATTGCAGGAAGCTCCTTGAAATTTGACCAAATTGCTTGCACATCCTTGCTATGTAGACCCCCAACCATGGGCCCGAGTTCGAGCCCAGCCCATAAAAACTCGTCCACAAAAAAACCGACTTGGACTTTTATTTTCGGGGCACGGATCGGCCCGAACTATCTAAGTCGGCCCCGCAAACTTATGTGTCCGGTTCGTACTTTATGTCCAAGCCTGCGGATCAGCTCGACCTGATATTGTTGTTGTAATAAATAATAGTAATCCATCCTAGGGAAGACCCTCGCGGCCTAGATGGACGACATGATAGTCAAAGTTCCAAAGAAGACGACCATGTAGATGACTTAGTTAAGGTCTTCTAGATGATGGAAAATTTCAAACTCATGTTAAATTCCAAAAATGCCCTTTCGGATGAAAGACGAAAAGTTTTAGAGCAAATGGGCAACAAAAAGGAATCGAACCTAACCTGGAAAAAGTCAAGGTCATCCTCAACATGGAATCTCCCCTAACAGCGAAGGAAGTCCAAAGGTTGAGCGGGAGATTGGCGGCACTCAACCAATTTTTATCAAAATTTGTTGAGAAGAGTTTGCCATTCTTAACTTCAAGATAATGGGGAAGACCCCGAGCTTCTAGTGGAACCTAAAATGTTAGCCAGCATTCGAAGAATTAAAGAGCTACCTTAAAACACCACGGGTGCTCTACAAAATGATAAAGGGAGGTATCTTGATCCTCTATTTTGAAGAGGGTCGTTGTGCTCTTAACCCCGTCCTCATCCGGGAGGAAGAAGAGGAAGAGCGTCCCGTGTTTTACATGAGTAGGGCGCTCCACCACATTGAACTTCGATACACGATCGTAGAGAAATATGTGTTAGCAATTGCCATGACTGTCAAAAAGTTGACTTATTACTTACAAGTTCACGGTATGACATAGAACGCATTAACCACTTAGTCCAATAATGAAGAGTCTGAGAGCATCAACGACATGTGTGATGAAGTGGTCCATCTTTCTTAGTTAGTTCAACATAGAGATCAAGTCATGACCGTCGATTAAGGGATAAGCCCTGGCGGAGTTTATAATAAAATCCACACAGAGGACAATACCCATACTCCCACGGCCGAGGAGGGGGAAGGGTGAACCATGCCCACTGGCAGATCCTCGGCCCCAAAGTCTTGTGGGGGGGATTCTCCCCGCGATGCTGGAAAGATTCCATAAAATTTTAAAATTTTAAGCATTTTTTACATGGACAACTAGTTATCTAGACAAGTATGAGGACACGACGATCACCTTGCCACCTTAAAGTTAGAGTGTTTCCACTAAAGGAGTGCCCAACTTCTTGAGACGAGGACAATGTCCAAGGTGAAAAGAGATGCTCAAGAAATGGTTCAATGCACTGGACAAAAAAAGTGCCACCATCTAAGACAAGTACAAAAGCATTCCACACAAGTGAGAATCGAGTAGTCGAATGCATGGTCCAATATATGAGGACGACTTCCAAAAGCTAAAGACGATCATATTGTCCCACAAAATGATGAGGCCGAGACACCATTGAAAGCATGCACCAATGGTGGCTCTTGAGGACTTAGGTATGGAGAAAAAAGAAAGAGAAAGTGATTCATATATTAAAATCTATGTTATGGATCTCATCCCCAAGCCCAAAAGTCAAGGAGGATTATTTATGAACAAAGAGTATACATTACGTGCATGCCTAAATCTCAAACTAGGCTACTAAGGCATTTTAGCCTTCTCGACTAGTCCCCGTTTACTAACCCATGAGGGCAAGAACGACCACGATCATGCTTATAGGATGAGGCTGAAAATGAGCTGCTAGACCAGGATCATCGGATCTTGTACATTGAGCCCTCTTCAATGAGCACTAGAAGTGTGATGGTGGGAGTGGCGATGTGATGTTGCTGCTGACAGTGTGGTGGTAGTGGACCCGATTAAAAAAACAGGTGGCTCTCATCTTCCACGTGATAATATGATGGCAAAATTAGAATGTTAAAAGTTAATTACTTTTATCATTTTAGTGTACGAACTTAACTCATATGTTAGGTTTCTAATCTCAATTACTTCTATATCGATCTTCCTCTAAATAAAATGAGGTGAATTTAAAATTTTTAAAATTCATTTTAACTAAAAACGTTAAAGGAATAAAAAAAAATTTACATATTCAAAAACTGAGTCAAAAGTTCTACAAAATAAAAAGTAACAAAAATGATTAATTTTATCAAATAATCAATTAAAATACAAATAAACTAAAATTTTTGTAAAATATATTAAAAGTTTTATAAAACAAGAGGTGAAAAATGATTATCTTATCCAATACAGTACTCCGTAATTAATAAAAATATACTCCGTAATTAAATACAAATTCTATGAGTTTTTAATTATAAAGTGTTCATTGTTTTTTGGTGCGGGAAGCGAAATAAAACCTTAATACTTACTGGGATTCAAGATGGGAGTAACGTCTGAAAATGGAGACCACCGGAGTGCTGCTGACATGCCCGATGTATGCATACTTAGAACAAGAACTCGACAACCGATTCAAGCTCTACCGGTTCTGGAACTTCCCGCAGAGGAAGGAATTCCTGAGCGAGAACGGCAACTCCATCCGCGCCGTCGTAGGAAACGCCTCTCTCGGCGCCGACGCCGAGCTGATCGACGCACTGCCCAATCTGGAGATCGTCTCTAGCTTCAGCGTCGGTTTGGACAAGATCGACTTGGCCAAGTGCAGGGAAAAGGGGATCCGGGTCACCAATACCCCCGACGTGTTGACCGGCGACGTCGCTGACCTGGCAATCGGGTTGATGCTCGCTGTTCTCCGAAGGATTTGCGAGTGTGATCGACATGTGAGGAAAGGATTGTGGAAGATGGGTAGCTTCGAGCTCGGGCTGACCACCAAGGTTCAATCATTCCCTGTTTTCAATTGCCTTGTTTGACAAAATTTGGGGTTTTACTACAGTGAATAAAAACATGGTTTTAACTACAGTAAATAAAAATTTTGTTTGAATTGTTCAAATGAAAGGGCATTTTTCAGTCTTGTTTAGTGATCATTAGAATATAACCTAGTTATTTCTGGGCGATTTTCTGGAATTTTATATGCAATTGATATGTATAGTTTTCATGCCACAAATGTGCTAACTGCATTAGTTTAATGTGTATGTTTAAAGAACTGCTATATAAACTGAATGTCATCATTTCTTTTATTACAAAAAATATCCATTGCAGCTAGAGCTCGTGTTTGAAGCTTTTTATTTCACCTTATCGGTCCATTTTGAACTCGGGAAACGATAGGAAAGAAAACTGAGTAAAATCCCAACACCCTGGATGCCTTTACTGCCCAGAACATCATAGAAAGTTAGAAACACAATAAGAAATTTTAACATGCACTTCTTATATCCCATAAAAAGACCCTAGTTCCATCACGGTACGACATCTAAATTTTGAGTGAAGTACAACTGTTTTAATACATAGAAGTTAACTTTTTTATTTAAAAAATTGAATATGGAGTATGATTTTTTGGATGAAAGTATGTCAAGAAACCAAGCTCGTTTTATGGGATGGGGTAGTATAACATTAATCATATTTCATTATACCTAGCATTTTTGGAGGCAAACCAAACACAAAAAGTTACCTTCATTGTCATTTCTTCCCCCCATTTCAAGGGCATTTTGTGTGACCCAAAAAACTCAAAATGCAGCTATTGCATTGAACTTTCATGGTTTTTTCGGGGGTAATATTGATGTCTTGATACTCATCCTAAGTTCCTAACATTTTTGGTGCTCTCATTCATTCCAGTTTAGTGGCAGAACCATTGGGATTATAGGGCTTGGAAGGATCGGGTCAGCAATTGCTAAGAGAGCAGAGGGTTTCGATTGTCAAATCTGTTACCACTCCAGAACAGAGAAACAAAACAAAAATTACAAGTACTACCCTAGTGTGGTTGAGTTGGCTTCTGCTTGCCAGATTCTAGTCGTCGCTTGTGAACTAACCCCAGAAACTCGGCACATCGTCAACCGAGAAGTGATTGATGCTCTTGGCCCAGAGGGAGTTCTCATCAACATTGGGAGGGGCCCACACGTCGACGAGCGCGAGATGGTGTCAGCTCTAGTTGAAGGACGGCTGGCTGGTGCTGGACTTGACGTGTTCGAAAACGAACCTTGCGTGCCCGAGGAGCTGTTTGGGCTGGACAATGTAGTCCTGTTGCCCCATGTTGGAAGCGACACGGTGGAAACATGCAAGGCCATGGCTGATCTTGTTATCAGCAATTTAGAGGCTCACTTTCTTAATGAACCACTACTGACCCCTGTGGTATGACTTTTCTATTGACATGCCGGTATGAATCTGTTTTGGAATGTTTTTATTCGTTATGCGTGTTTGTGAAGTATGGTTGTGTTTTGTTTACCTGATCTGATTGTAGTTATAGTTAAATCAAAATCAAAATACACTTCACACAGTAAAATTTGCTGAGTGGCATAACAAGAATAAAGATGGTAAGACCCATGATTCATTAATCAAAAATATAACTTCATACATATTGATGTGAAGAAGCTTTTAGTAATAGCAATTGTAAGTAATTCCTTGACCCCGACGGGAAATGTAGATAGAGTACTTCAGGGTCTTCTTGCTCACGCTGTCACGCGTCAAGAAACCGATGTCCACAATCTCCTTTAGGGCTGAAGTCCTTCAACACATTTCTGCAAACAAGTAGCTAGCTAGGAATTGCAGTAGCTAGGCATCTCCATCCATACTGTATTCATCAAAATTGGGTGCCCTTCATCCCTAATGGTACGCCATTGACAAACCCAACTTGGGTTTTCACCCCTTCCCACCTCACTGCAATTCCTTTTTTTTTTTGCAATATTTTTTTTGTTCACTGCAAATTTGGTTTTATTTTATTTAGAGTAAATTCTCAAAATAGTCATTTGTAATAAGGTGTTCTGTCAATTCAGTCGTCAATAAGTTCTAATTACTTACATGGTCCTTTATAATTGAGATTTATTTCTCATATAATCTTTTGTAAATAATTTTACTCAAATGATGATTAATTAAAGAGTATTTTGGTATTTTTATCATCTAAATTTAAAGTCTATTCTCGAAATGGTCATTTCCATACAATTAAATGTAAAATTAAAAAAAATATACTGACTATACATAATCCTTGAATTATTAAAAATCTAAAAAAAAATATTTTAAGATTCAGATCAAATACGCATCTTTAATTAGAAAAAACCATTTTGGGGAAGCATTTCACTTGAAATGATTATTTTAAAAAAAATTCTAAATTTAACTAATAAAAATGCCAAAGTACTCTCCAATAATCATCATTTGAATAACAATATTTACGAAGGAGTATCTAAGAAATAAATCTCAATTATAGAGGGTCACCTAGGTAATTAGAACTTACTCCGAGTATTTAAGATTGATTTGAGAAATCACCTTATTAGAGAGGACCAATTTGGACATTTACTTTTTTATTTATGTATTTATCTTGTTCAAAGTTTAATGTATCTTTTTATTTAAAAACTAAAAGTATGAACAAAGTAATGGAAAAATATAGGGATATGCTAGGGGTACACCAAAGGTGTACCCCAAATGTACACCACCCCTCTCTTTACCATTCATTTTATTTTATTTTTTTTTTTAATTTTTTTTTTGAATTTTTCTTGCTTTTTTTTTGTGGTGATGGAGGGGGTGGGGGGTGTTTGGGGTACACTTTTGGTGTACCCCTAACATTTTCCAAAAATATATTATGATTTGAGTTTGAGTTTGGTATAATAAATTTGTACGGTTCCGTAGACATTGACCAATGGTGCCACGAGCGATGCTATTGCATTTTTGGAGTACCTCTGGTGCCTCATTCACTAAAGTGATGGTTCCTACCCTCTTAACTCACCCCCACCCCAGCCCACCCTAAGTCCTTCTCAAAATGTGTGGCTATTATGCATTGCATAATAATCACACATTTAGAGGGGATATAAGGAGGGTCTAGGGTGGGGCGTAGAGATCAAGCTAAGGTGGGGTGCGATTGGGGGTTTTGGGAATGAGTTAGATGGTGCATACATCAATTTTGTGAATGGAACTCTGGAGGAGCTTTAAATGAACGAGTGTCATCGTTGACACTAAAAGCAATATCAATGGAGAACTTAAAAATTAAGATGGAGAACTTCTTAAAAATTTGGAATTGACAATATGGAGTTATTAAAGTACGATGGAGAACTTCTTAAAAATTTAAAAAAATACTCCGTAGATGATATGATTGGAAATGTGGTGGAAAAGTAAAATACTAAGAACATCTCCAACCCATCCTCTATTTTTTTATCTTCTATTTGCCTCTTTAGCTTGTCTACAGTGTTTTTACAGCTCATTTTTCTTCATCCACTCCAACCATATCATCTATATTCACTATCAACCATCAATACAACAACCAATAAAACCTCAATTTTTTAAATAAAAAATTAGCAACTGGAAATTAAATATGGTGGATGAGCAAGGAAAAAAAAGCCCTAGCTATTAGAAGAAACTCGAGCAAGATGAAGAAGCATAGTACTAGATCTAAAACCAAAGGAAGCAAGAAACAACAAGCCCTAGGTGTTTCAAAAGAAAAATCAGCAAGCTCCAACAAGAAGAAACAGTAGAATCGTAAGCCAAAGCTAATTGCAGATGATAGATGAGCAGAATCGGAATCAAAGAAGAAAACAGAGGGGAATTGGAAATCAAAGAAAAATAGATTGATAGCTGATGCAAGGCCGGCTTTCAAATATAGAAGACGAAACGGAACAAATAGCAATCACTCTATTTTATGGCTTACCCGTTAGAGCTCGTTTTTATGTACAGTAAATGCTCTATCTTTAAATTTTTACACTTTAGTGAATTTTAAATGCTCAGTTGAGGGAAGCAAAAATAGCATTTAGCCTCCCAAATTTTAACACGTGCGGAGTTGCTCTTAGAGGCTTTTTGTTTCCGCTGATTCAGATGTCTGAATGGTTCAGTATTTAATGGTTCAGACGGTTTGTTTTAGCCTCTTAATGATTTAGATGTCTGAATGGTTTAGACATTTGCTGGTTAAGTATTATACAGAATTTGAATGGTTAAGACCTCTTATCTGAATTGATCAGACATTTGCCTCTAAATAGTTAAGCAATATACTAGCTCTTAATGGTTCAGACCTCTTACTAATTCAGCATTTAATGGTTCAGATCTCACTCGTTCAACACTTAGTTTAATTTTTCACATTATAGACTAGCAAATATTTTCATAAGTATTGCTTCCAGAACGTTGCCGTCAACGGGGATTCAATATCGGAGAAACGTCTGAAAATGGAGACCATCGGAGTGCTGCTGACATGCCCCGTGAATCCGTACCTAGAGCAAGAACTCGACAACCGATTCAATCTCTTCCGCTTCTGGAACTTCCCGCAGAGGAAGGAATTCCTTAGCGAGAACGGCAACTCCATCCGCGCCGTCGTAGGAAACGCCTTTATAGGCGCCGACGCCGAGCTGATCGACGCACTTCCCAAGCTGGAGATCGTCTCTAGCTTCAGCGTCGGGTTGGACAAGATCGACTTGGCCAAGTGCAGGGAAAAGGGGATCCGGGTCACCAATACCCCCGACGTGTTGACCGACGACGTCGCTGACCTGGCAATCGGGTTGATGCTCGCTGTTCTCCGAAAGATTTGCGAGGGTGATCGACATGTGAGGAAAGGATTGTGGAAGATGGGTAGCTACAAGTTGACGACTAAGGTTCAATCATTCACTGAATAAAAATTTGGGGTTTTGCTACAGTGAATACAAATGTGGTGGTAAATGTTTGGGTTTTAACTACAGTGAATAAAAATTTTGTTTGAATTGTTCAAATGAAAGGGTTTTAACTACAGTGAATATTACCTAGTTATTTCTGGGTGGCTTTCTGAAACTTATATGCAATTGATCTATATAATCTTGATGCCACAAATGTGCTAAGTCCATTAGAATAATCCCAACACCCTTGATGCAATTACTGCCTAGAACATCATAGAAAGTAAGAAGCAAAGCAAGATATCTAAACATGCACTCCCTGTCTTCCCCTATCACTTAAAAAAGACACTGATTCAATCACTGTAAAACTTTTACATTTTTGAGTAAGGTACACCCATAATGAAATATGAAGTTGTTTTTTTTTGGGATTAAATATGATTTTTTTGGATGAAAGTATGTCAAGAAACTAAGCTCTTTTCATGGGACGGGTGGAGCATAACATTAATTATATTTCATTATAGCTAGTTTTTTGGAGGCAAACCAAACACAAAAAGTAAATTTGCTTGTCACCCCCCAACCCAAATGGCATTGTGTGTGATCCAAACACAATAAAAATGCAGTGTACTGAATTATTTTATTGTTTGGGGGGGGGGNGGATACTCATCCTAAGCCTTTCATTGCCATCATTTGTTGCAGTTTAGCGGCAAAACGATTGGGATTATAGGACTTGGAAGGATTGGGTCAGCAATTGCTAAGAGAGCAGAGGGTTTTGATTGTCAAATCTGTTACCACTCCAGAACAGAGAAACAAAACACAAGTTACAAGTACTACCCTAGCGTGGTTGAGTTGGCTTCTGCTTGCCAGATTCTAGTTGTTGCTTGTGAATTAACCCCAGAGACTCACCACATCATCAACCGAGAAGTCATCGAAGCTTTTGGCCCACAGGGAGTTCTTATCAACATTGGTAGGGGCTCGCACGTTGACGAGCGCGAGATGGTATCAGCTTTAGTTGAAGGCCGGTTGGGTGGTGCTGGACTTGATGTGTTTGAAAATGAACCTTGCGTGCCCGAGGAGCTGTTTGGGCTGGACAATGTAGTCCTGTTGCCCCATGTTGGAAGTGGAACGGTGGAAACACGCAAGGTCATGGCTGACCTTGTTCTTGGCAATTTAGAGGCTCACTTTCTTAACAAACCACTACTGACCCCTGTGGTTTGAATTGGCTGTGGACATCCCGGTACAAGTCTCTTTTGAACATTTTATTTATGGCATGTATTTGTGTTTGTTGAGTATCCCATGCAGGGATGACACAAATGGTTTCCAATTCTTAGGACATTTTAAAGTTGTTTTGGTTCCGGAATAAGAGCTGCCTGTTCCTGTTCCCTACCAGAACCATGTCTACTGATCAGCATGTAACGAATAAGTTTCACTGGAAAGATAACTGTCTAGTGTTTTGCATTTTACTTTGAACTCAGATGCATATAGCTTTCATATGTAGAAAAAGGAAAGGTACATAGGTTTGATGGTTACTGACTATAGGACTTTTACTCCCATGCTGATTTTCATCCTCCCTTCAACTATGCATTGGATGGCTTGGCTGCATCATGAAGGAGAGCTCTGGGGAGAAGATGACCCCTTGAAGATGAGGAAGTTGAGAGTCTCCAAGGTGAAATAGATGAAAGTTCCTTTACTGTGAGTGAAGAAACAACTGAAGTGTGACCCCACCACACATTGCCAACCACTCCCATATTCCTTGTCAAACTCCTGCACATACATTATTGTCAGGAGAAAATGGTCAATCTAACTAATGATGGGAGGTGCTCATTAATTCTTGCACCTTGTTTGGTTGGTTGGTCTCTTGGAAACAACCTCTTTACTTAGGGGTAAGATCTACCTACACACACCCTTTCTTGACACTACTCTCACGGGATTTCTACTCGGTTTTTTTTGTTACTCCGTAGTTTGGTTGGTTGATATTGATTCTGGGAAGCCATTAACACATTTATCTTCCTCATCTCCACTTCCTTATATCACCAAAGGAGTGGAGTGGAATGGAGAGAGAACTTTTCTTTCACTCCCACTCTTTTCCCATCCAAACACCTTTGAAATTCTACTAATTTTCTAACCATTTTCTATTTTTTTCTCCCTCCCTTTTCTATCCTGCTTCTATATTTCTCTTCATCCAAATAAATAGATTATTATAGTACTGTGTTAATTGAGCTCACCTACCTTACCTTCTTGATGTGAGCAGCAATGGATTTGCAGTCAAGAACATCATCATAAAGATCCAGAGCTTGAGAAGCACATGCCATGGCTTCAATCTGCATCTTCATTGGCATGTCTGTATCTTCAATCACTGCTTTCCCTTCCAACATCTCTCTCTCTACTCTCTCTCTCTCTCTCTCTCTCTAGGGTGTTTGGGACAGGTAATATATACTGTATGCAGCAAGATTAGAGGTGTTTTTGGCTTGAGTGATAATGGAAGCCCAGAAAGGATTATTTTTTTCTTCCCCTTAAAGAGTGTGCCATTTTTTGTGCAGTACTAAATTTAAATTAAGATTACGCACTGCTAGCAATGGCAACACATCAGATTGTGGATAAGGACTACGGCCACGAAGCTCTAGTCTTATCACTTATTATTACTCAGACTGTTTGGGAATAGCGTTAAAGATTAGCGTTAGTGTTTTGAAAAGACTATCTACGGATAGCGTTTTCAAAGTAATATGCACCGTTAAAATTTTATCCAAAACGAAACTATTCCCAAACAGACCTATATCAGAAAAATGAAAAATGCTTGCAGAATGTTAATATGTTTGCCAAATATAGTACTCCGTAGTTTTCTTAAGTGAAATTTGCATTGAATAAGACAAAAATATAAGTCATTTTTCAATGTAAGACTTAAACTTTTTTATTCCCTAAATAAGACTTAATAATGACTAGTGAGAAGAATAATGTCCATGTGATGTTGGACATTTAGTTAAATAATGATTAATAAATAATGACCAATGGTCCTACATTGGATAATAAAAAAGTATGATCCTATATTGAGAAAGTTATTATATAAATTACACTTTTCTTAATGGATAATCTCTATCGCTCATCAGTATGTCAAATCATTACAAATGACATACGGAAAATTGCCAAATCATTACTTTCTATTTATAGCATATAGGGTACGTAAAGTAACAGCCTAACGTATTCACAAATATGGGACCCAAGACCGAACTGGACTAGACCGAAGATCTACTTGAAAAAAATCAGCCGATGATCGGACCAGTTTGCTTGCTCTTTCTTTTACTACCAATTTTTAACTATAAACAATTTTTGTAATGATGATGTTTCTATTCAGCGAGCTTGCCCTTTCATTTACTACCAATTTTTAGTAAGAGTATTTTAGTCATTTTAAGTCATAAGCCAACCATTCATAAAACAGAAGAAAAGTCCAAATGGGAAGTTCTCTCCTCGATAGAGGGAGTAAGTAATAATAATAAGTTGAAGAGAACATAACATTATTCATGTTGAGTATTTTTTATTTTTAGTGGAATCAAATCAGATCAGATCAGAAACAACTTTAAATTTAATTACAATCAGATTAAATCAGACAAGATCAGATCAAACCTTAATAAATTCAGATCAAAGAGTGAACAACAAATCCCTCACCCCCTCCCCTTTCTGAAATGGTCTATTTTAGTATTTCGATTCGTAAATTGATTAAGTGTTGCATTCCGTTCAGCAAATCCCTCACCCCTCCCAAACAAATAATTAAATAATACATTGAAGATGTAGAAGAAGAAAATTGTTGACAATAGCTTATCACTGAAAAATAAGAATATTATGTTACAAAAATGATAATATTTGTAGATGTCGTGCTAATCAAGTTAGAAATTGTGCTAGCATAATTTTCTATTTGTGGATGTCCAAAAAATTCTCACTTTTTTCTTTCTTCTTTTAAATAAACTAAAATTTTAGAAATAACCTGTTTATTATATTAAAAATACTTGAATCAAGACATAATCCTGTTATCACTCTATTCTTAAAAGCAGGAGAATTATTTTCCCGCTCAATGCACTCATCTCCTGCACCGTTGATATTAAGGAACAAACAAGATCTACGGCTATAATTGGTTTTGTAATATTACCTATTTAGAATGATAAATTAAAGGAAATTTTGCATGCATAATCACTCTATTCTGATAAAAAAGGAAAGAAGTAATTTGTTTCCTAACCAATTTCACATAATTACTTGATTGTGATAAAAAAGGAATGGACGGTGCAGTAGATTTTTTATATTTTGTTTCCTTTTTAAATAGGTAATTATTTGCGCCTAATTATTACTATTATTATTATAATTACTTGGAATAATTTATGCCTGATTATTTTATCAAAAAGTAATTATTTATGCCTAATTAAATAGGTAATTGTTTACTTAATCACTCTATTCTTAAAAGGAAATACTTTTAAGAATAATAGAATGATAAATTAAAAGAAATTTCGCAGGCATAATTATTTAATTCTGATAAAAAGAAAGGGACTAATTTCGCAAACAAGATCAACGTTGTTTCTTTTTTAAAATAATTTCGCATGCATAATTACTTAATTACTCTATTCTTATTTAGAATGATAAAATATAAAAGAAATGTCACAGTAATACATAGAATAAATGGTGGTACATATAGTAAGTGTTGAATAAATAAATGATAATTAAATCATAAATCACCGTGTAATAAGAATAGATCATGTATTACTGTGTAACAAGAATAATAATATTAATATATCGTGTAATAATATTACCGCATTTAATCATTATTAATTTATTACCATGTAAGCAAAATGATAATAATATACTGTGTAATAAAATTACGGTACTTAGTCATTATTATCGTCTAATAATTCTAATCTAAGAAGCTTTCAATTTAAAAATGTTTCCATTTAGAGAACATGTCCAAACTTAATATTACCATATTTAATCATTATTAATTTATTTCGGTGTGATTATGTTAAGAAAATAAGCTTTCAATTTAATTATGTTTCCATTTAGAGATTCGGTGCCAAATATTTTATGAAGAAATTTAAATATATAAGTTTATGCATTTAAGGAAGGCACAATTATAAAAAATCAAAAAAAAAAATAAAATAAATTAAATATAAAAAAATGTCAAAGTAATACATAGAAATAGTGGCACATGTGTTAAGTGTTGGATATAGAAATAATAATTAAATCATAAATTACTTTGTAGCAAGAATAAATCATGTATTACTGTGTAGAAAAAATACTAATACTAATATACCGGTGATAGATATATTATTCGTAAAAAAGTATGATGTGATACATAGGGTATAAAAAAATAAGTGATAAAAGTAGTTTTTTAATAGAAAAAAGAAGAAATTTGTAAAAAGAAAAAATGAAAGGGGAAGATGTCTCAGAGACGGAGGGAGTATTAAATAAGAAATTGTAATCTTTAAAAATGATCTTAATTTAGTAATATAAGTATGACCCGTGCAACGCACGGGAGTGATGCTAGTCTATACTTTATTTAAAAAGAAGTGAAGTCAACTTTGTGTTTTCCCGCCCAAGAGTGCTAGGTATTAGTTTTGGTAATTCTAAAGTTAAATTGGTAATTATTAAATGCTAATAATTATATTATATTTTATACAGAATTTGGTATTGGTACTTGGTAATATAATACCGAATTATTATATTCTATTAAAGGAAAATAGGCATTAAAACACGTATGTTATTTAATGTGGTGATTTAAGCAATATGGTAATATCAAACAATTGCTATTTTGAACTAATATCAATGGAATGAATTTTAAGGTAATTTAAATTGTTTAGTAATAATAACGACACTGAATATTATAAAAAAGAAAACATGTACTCCGGATGTTATTTAATGCGGCGATTTAAACCATATATATGGTAATATGAAAAGGTAAATATTCTGAATAAGGAAATAGTACTTTTAAAAAAGTTAACATTACCTCACAATTTCTTTTGTAGTTCGTAATTAATATTAACAGAACGGATGTTTTCTAATTAAGTTAATTTCAATTTCTCAATAATAATGACGCCACGCAATATTATACGGAAGATCGAAAACGTTATTTTTTAAAAAATTAATATTACTTTTCACACAAAATGCCTTTAAAAACGTGATATTATTAATCTAAAAAATAATAATTATTATTAATCTAAAAAATGGTTTAAAAGCTATAATAAATACATTTCCTTTTTTATCACACGGTATTAACCATGGTGACTAACCAATTTCCTTTTTAAAATGAATAGTTTTAACACGTAATCATTTTAGAAAAGGAACAACGATAATATGACACAATTTATAATTGGTAATTAATATTAGTTGAACGGATTTTTTCTAATCAAGGTAATACTAAATCCTCAATAATAATGATGCCACGGAATTATTAATAAGTTAATTTCATACCTTACAATTTTTTGTACCGAGTATAATAAAAAAAGTAACATATGAAAGAATAATAACATGGTAATAATATGGTACCGAATAATAATAATTATAATCATAATAATAAACGTAATAATAGTAATAAAGCTAAGTTAGTTTTGTACTATTACCGTGTATAAAATAAATGAAAGCGTTGATTTGGTTTAAAAAATGTATTCTCATACCTTATATATTTTACCAAAATTATAATTTATATTATTAATTATTAATAAGGTAATTTCATACCTTATATTTTTTTGTACGTGTAATAAAAAAGGTAACATTTAGAATAATAATAATACTATGAAAATAATATGGTACCGTATACTAATAATCATCATAATAATAAACGTAATAATAATCAAGGTATGTTAGTTTTGTGCTATTACCATGTATAAAATAAATCAAAGTGTTGACTTGATTTTAAAAAAATATATTCACACACCTTATATTTTTTGACCAAAATTATAAATTATAAAATTAATTATCAATTATTAATAATGTAATTTGATACCTTATATTTTTTAGTATTGTGCAATAAAAAAGGTAACATGTGAAACCTTAATTATTAATTATTAATTATTAATTATTAATTATTAATTATTAATAAGGCAATTTTATACGTTATAGATTTTGGTACCATGCATAATAAGAAAGGTAGCATGTGAAAGAATAAAAAGAATATAGTAATAATATAGTACCGTATAATAATCATTATAATAAACGTAATAATAATAAAGATAAGTTATAGAGTAATTATAATAATCATAATAATAAACGTAATAATAATAATAGAGTAACAAATTATAGTGGCTTGAAGATTTTGATATGTAACGAACACAATGTTCCCATAAATTGTACGAATAATGCAGTTTACAAAAAGTCGTTTGAAATTTCTAAGCAA